CTCTCTCTCTCTCTCTCTCGGTTCTTCAGCCCTCTCTCTCGCTCTCTTTTTGCCCTCTCTCTCTCTCTCTCTCTCTCTGTCTGTCTTTCTGTCTCTCTGTCTCTCTCTTTCTCTTGCTCCCTCTCTCTCTCTCCCTCTCTCCCTCTCTCTCTCTCTCTCTCTCTCTCTCTCTCTCTCTCGGTTCTTCAGCCCTCTCTCTCTTTTTGCCCTCTCTCTTCTGGTACAGAAGGACAAACTCAGGACCTTGCACGTTTCGAGGCAGGCTTTCTTTTTTGAGACAGAATCTTGCTATGAAGTTCAGACTGGCCTTGAACTCACTATGTAACCCAGGTTAACCTCAGACTCAGAGTAATCCTCCTGCCTCAGTCTCCCAAGTGCTGGGATTTTAGGCATGAACCACTCACCATGCCTCCCCCCACTTTTTTGAGGCAGAGTCTTGCTATGTAGTTTAGTGGGGCCTCGGTCTTGTGGTGATCCTTCTCCCTCAGCTTCCCGAGTGCTGGTATCACAACAGGCTTCCTCCACTATGCTTGGCTGCTTCAGTTTTCTTCCTGAAAGAACAGACATCTTCAGAGAAAGATCACAGTATCAGCCAGGTGTGGTGGCTCATTCCTGTTATCCCAGTACTAGGAGGCTGAGTCAGGAGGATCATAAGAGTTCAGGACCAGTTTGAACTACAAAGGGAGACCTTGCCTTAAAAACAAACAGGGGTAAGGATTTAGCTCAATCGTTCCACCACTTGCCTCAGAAGCCCAGAGTTCAATCCCCAGTACCAAAAAAAAAAAAAAGAAAGAAAGATCACAATATTTTTCACATACTTTTTTTTCCCACTCCTTCACATATTTTTATAAAGCATCTTTATTTTTCAATTTAATATTTTCTGGTGATGGGAATTGAACCCAGGCCTTGCACATACCAGGTAAGTACTCTACCACTGAGCTCTCTCCCAGCCCCTATAAAATATCTTTAGTTTTAATGGGAACTTTATTAATGTGAATTCTTGGAACTTGGTTAATAATTAAAAGGCAGGCACAATCATGACAAAGTTCTTTCCCCTTTTACCCAAAATATTGTACCTCCCGCGGCTTCTGTCCATTGGCCCTAGTGCTGTGGCCCTTCCATGGGAAGCCCTTCAAACTTTCAAAGGCATTACAAGTTAGGGTTTAACATTTCCTTGCTGTGAACCATTTATTATTGACCCCAATATAAAAATAACCATTTGAGGGCAGCCTTTGCCAAGAATAAGGACTGTGGCCTTCTGGCAGGGCCTGTAGCAC